GTAATGAGCATAACCTATAAATATTAAATAAAGTGGCGGCGACAGAATATTGAGATTCTGTCCTTCCTTTCAAATCTTGTCTTCTACTGCTCTCTCTCTACTCTTTCTCCTCCTTCCTCTATTCTTTCTCCTTTTTCGAACCTGAAATTTATTAGTGCTCAAGACTGATAGCAGTCTTGAACAACTACAATTACTTTAAAAAAAAAGTGATGTAAAACATCTTACTTTCCTAATGCTGTTCATTCATTTGTCCTAGTAACATATCTTCTTAACATTATAAAATCATTTACTTTTGTGTAAGGATTAAGAATTTAAGACCCTATCGGCCCATCCGTTAGGTTCAAAAAAGAACAAAAGATGCATGCCTGGGCTGAAGCACAAGGTGCACCAAGCACACGCCATTTGAAAGTGCTGTGCCTAGGACCTAGGCAAGGCACATACCTTAAAATGCACCTCGCCTGAGCACCCTGGTGCGCCTGAGGCAGTGAGGCGTGCCTTTTAAATCACTGATATTGTGAAAGCCGAGCTCCTCTTTCTATAGTCCATTTCTATATATATTTTGCACCTACATTCTTGGGTGAGCCTAGCATAGTTTCTTTACTGAATTTTAGATTTCCTAAGAGTGGTTACCAGTGCTGAACTTTCCTCTAAGGTTAAAGCCCTGTCTAAAAGCCAAGAAGCCTTCACCAAAGCCCAAGAAGAAGCAAAATTTGGGTGTCCAAAACCTTTAGAGCATACTAAGAAACCCTTTGAAGCCCTATGTATAAGAACTAAAAATTTGGGTGTCTGGAAGCAGGTTCCTTATCCACTGCTGCCATGTTTGCCCGAAGTTCATTTTGCTTAGAATATTATTCTCAAAAGCCTAGTTACATGATCATAGGCCATATTGATTTGCATAAAACACAGGGTACACTACATCTCCCCCTAGAATCCACCAGCTCATTTGCGGTAAGTACCACATCAAGGATTTGTTTTCGTGCACAAAGCACCTTCATGCATAATACTAAGGTCTTTGATAGGGCTTTATGGATACTGCCAATTAGACTAATTGGTTTAAAACTATTAAGTTCTGTAGCTCCTCCTATCTTGGGGCTTACTGCAATCAAGGCCATGTTTAGGCTCTTCTCAAAGGTAGATTCTTTTTAATGAAATTCTTGCAGTATCCTCATGATGTCATCTTTTGCTATTGTCCAACAACTTCTATGGAAACTATTAAGTTCTGTAGCTCCTCATGATGATTGTCCCTCCATTTCTTTGATACCATCCTAAATTTCTTTAGTAAAATGCCTTTCCAGATTTTGGTTTAGCTGTTCTTATCCTTGCAAAATCAAGGACATTTAAGTTTTAAGTGTGGGAGGCCATGGTTCTCTTATAGAGCAGAACAATATCCAATTATTTCTTTGTTATCTTCCAACAGTATCCCCATTCACTAGATGTTTTCTGACTGTTGAATGTTGATACGGAAAACAGTTGTTGCTATTTGCTGCCCCTCTMGTGATATGGTGTACGATGCACCTACAGAGGTTAATTACAAATGACTAGGCATATGATATTAAAATGTGTTCCCTCTAGTAACAAGAGCAAGAAGATTAAGGCTTGGGGCTTAGGTCCCCAGTGTAGTTGGTTAACATATTCCAAACAATCGAGTGGCCATATTTTTTTTTATCCATCTTCACCCTTTATCTGTCCAAAAAAATAAAATGTGTAATAAAATAGTAGTAACATGAGCATGTGACTTCTGTTCTTAATTTCAAACAATGCCTAGAGTTTTGTATATGATGACTTAGGTTGCAGTTGTAATTCATCTGTTACAAATTTGTTTCCTAATGGTTGTCATACTTTGATAATTGGCAGGGTGAAGAATATAAGTTGTTTTGGCCAGATCAGCCTGAATTTGTGAGAATGGCAGCTAGATTTGGTGCAACAATTGTACCATTTGGAGTTGTTGGAGAAGATGATGTTGCAGAAGTAAGCTTTAAAAATGTGCATTCTAATTCTTTCATTGTACCATTTGGTATTGTTTTAGAATTCCAAATTGATATCATATTTCTACATCAAAACTTTGAATCATGTGGGGGATTGTTGTATTTTTTTTTTTTTTTTTTGATTAAAAAGTTTTATCAAGGGTATTTTCACCTTTTATCTTTGTTGAGTTTTGGGCTGATATAACATGTTTTTTATTTACATAGCATAGTTAGGGAGTTATTGGGCCTTAGGCCCATTAGTTTATGTTTTAAGTTAAGAGTGTTTTTTAAGTTCTCACAAGTAGCCAACTTACTAAGGGCATACTTGTCTTTGTACTCTTTTATTTATGAGTATATAATCTAATGAAAGGGGCAGCCAGACCTAATTTTGAGCTTCTCCCATTCTCTTCTATCTCTTATCTCTCTCTTTCTTAGTTAAAACCTTGTCTCCTCTTTCTTTTCTTCTTTCTTTTACAGTTTTTATATCAAAACAGGTTGTCCAAACTTGTCTACTTGGTATCAGAGCAAGTTTAAACATTTCTTGAGCTGCTCCATCATGCAGCCCTAGATCAGCTGACTACATGATAAGGCAAAGGGCTGATCGAAAACTTCAGGTAAGCCCAGTTTTTGGATTTTTTGGTGGAATTGCAATCCCTTGTAGCTGATCTAGGGTTTTACACCAAAATCAAGAAGAACTGGAGAAAGGGGGAGAGTCATGTTTTAGTAGGACTCTTAAATTTTGACCTAGGAAGTGGCGCTCTAGTTTTCTAGGGTTCCTTGATGTTTTCTGAAGGGTGCGGTTCAAGTTCACCCTTTTTGGAGTTCTCTGGAGGGAGCGACAACCTCTTCTCTCTCTTCTCCCACTCTCACAGAAAAAGGAATCTTTAGAGGGAGGGGCTTCTAGGGTTCCAGGAGGGTGTTTGAGGTTTCTAAAGGAGATAAATACCTTCTTTTTCATTTCAAATTGATTTCCTAACCTATTCTGAGAGTTATGGAGGGTTGTGTAGTTGAAAACAAATTTTTAGGAGAAATGGGATCCAGGGAAGGAGGTGTTGGAGATCTCTTTGGGGTTGGAACCATCACTACAGTCAAGTTGGATGATACAAACTACTTAGAATGGTCACAATATGCAAAGATGGCCATTGGTGCTCAAGGGAAATTGGGGTATGTCATTGGTGAGGAAAAGAAACCTGAAACTATCCATTCCTGATGGGTACATGAGAACTACATGGTGATAATTTGGCTATGTAATTCCATGTTGCCCCATATAAGTAAGAACTTTTTATGGGCTAACACAGCTAATGGGATTTGGGATGGAGTAGTAGAAACATATTCACAGAATGAAAATGTTGCTAGAGCCTATCAGTTGAGAAACTGGGTGATTGCTACTAGGCAGGGAGATAAGTCTGTTGCTATTTATTTTTCAGCCCTAAAAACCTTATGGTAGGAGATAAATCATTTGGAGACGGTGGTTTGGGAAAGTAGCAAAGATGCAACATCTTATCAGAACCTAGTAGAAAAGAATAAGGTTTTTGAGTTTTTAGTTGGACTTAACCCTGAGTATGATATTGCACGACAACATATTCTTTCCCGAGATAGTGTAACTCTCTCTCAGGCATATGCCTTTTGTGTTTGGAGAGGAGAGTAGGAGAAATGTGATGATGAGGAACCCAAGCCTTGAGCAACCATGGTTAGTATAGTGAAGCCTAAGCCGAGCGGGGATAAGGGTGGAAATGAACTGAGGAAGAGGACAAAAGGGATTTGATCTATGACTACTGTAAGAAACCCAAACATACTAGAGATACCTGTTGGAAGCTTTACCCACACCTTGTACCGAGCTGACTCAGAAATAAGAAGGGAAATGTGAATATGGTAGTGACTGGCGATTTATCAGGGCCACATACTACAACCTCTCTAGAATCTGTTGCAACAGCTATAGTGAGGGCCGAATTGGAGAGATATGGATAGTTCTTGAATCAGGAGGATAGAACCAGTTCCAACTGTTTATCAAGTGGACAACAAGGTGCAAGTGGATCAGGAGGTAGTCATTCTACCTTGTTTGCACACATAGGTAGTTCACATGTCACTGCAAATTATTTATCCACTATAGGTAAGGGAGGACCTCCCTGGATTATAGACTCAGGAGCCTCAGAGCATATGACCAACATTTCCACCATTTTCACCTCATACCACCTTTGCTCTAGCAGATATAGAGTTTCTACAGATGATGGATCGCATGTTCCCATTGTTGGAAAAGGGTCTGTTAGGATAACTGATACCATTACCCTACCTTTTGGCCTTCATGTTCCTAGACTGAGCACTAATCTTCTGTTAGTAGCTTGACAAAGAATTTTAACTGTTCTGTGATTTTTCTCTTGGTCATTGTGTTTCCAGGATCTGGAATCAAAGAGGACGATTAGGAGTGGTTGTGAGGTGAATGGAATCTATCTTCTTGATGCACTTCCCAGTCATCAAAGTCCTCATGTCAGCAGGAGTATTGAGTCAAAGTCATATGCTTTGGCATAATTGTTAGGACATTTGTCTTTTGCTTCTTTGCGTTTTTTGTTTCCTAAATTGTTTGAGTCTATCAGTTTATCCAGTTTGGAGTGTGAGGGCTGCCAACTTGGAAAGAATTGTAGACATTCCTTTAAAGCAAGTAATAAAAGATGTTCTTCAGTTTTTGATATTGTTCATACTGATGTGTGGGGGCCATACCATGTTTCTTCTATGGGTGGCTATTTGTATTTTCTTCTGTTTGTGGATGATTATTCTCGGTACTCTTGGATATATTTGATGAGATCCTATTATGAGGTATTGTCTTTGTTCAACAATTCCATCAGATTGTGCTAACACGGTTTGGGGTACGAGTGAAACTGTTTAGATCAAACAATGCTAGAGAATACTTTGAAAAAAACCTGTCATCATACCTTTTGGAGCATGGAGTTATCCATCAGAGCAATTGTACATATACTCCACAATAGAATGGTGTAGCAGAAAGGAAGAATAGACATATTATGGAAGTAGCAAGAAGCATGATGTTGAGCTCTACAGTTCCAGATCGTTTTTTGGGGTGGTGCAGTTTTTACAGCAGTGTTCTTGATTAATCGGGTGCTTTCTCGTGTTCTTGGATATAGCACTCTGTTCAGCCTTCTTTTTCTTGAGGGGGAGATATTCCATATTCCTCTAAGGGTGTTTGGATGCATGTGCTTTGTCCATGTTCTTGGTCCTCACTACTCAAAGTTGGATCCTAAGGTGAAGAAGTGTGCCTTCCTTGGGTATGCAGGAAATTAGAAGGGGTATTGTTGTTATGATCCAGTCTCCGGGAGTTGGTATGTTACTATGGATATCACCTTTTTTTGATTCCACACCTTTTTTTCTCGGGGGTTCTTCTCAAGGGGAGTGTTTTGGAGAAGGAAGTGAACAATCTATACCACTTCCTGTTCCAGCTCTTTTGTTTACTCTAGTGTTTGACCTACCTATCTCACCCACTTTGCCACCTCCATTGCGTCTTGTCTCTCAGTGTTTTACATGATAGTGCCTACGACAGCATAGGGAGGTTGATTCCACAGTAGAGGAATCCACGTCACTCCTTATCGGCTCATCGGAGATTCCAGGTTCGACTGACACAGACCCAAGTATGCCTCATGATCCCCCTGATGGTTTAGTTCCTATTGATACTACTACCCCTGCTCCTAACGCCATTGCAGATGACCTTGATCTCCCTATTGCCCTCAGAAAAGGGAAGAGGAAGTGTACTACTTATTACATCTCACACTATCTTTCCTAAACCTGAGTGGAAGACAGCTATGCAGGAGGAAATGAAAGCATTGATTAACAATCAGACATGGGAGATGTGGATTAGCTAATGGCAAGGAGACTGTTGGATGCAGATGGATTTATATAGTAAAGTACAGTGCTGATGGGAGTATAGAAAGGTACAAGGCAAGGCTACTTGCAAAAGGGTATACTCAGACTTATGGCATAGACTACTTGGAAACTTTTGCACCAGTGGCAAAAATGAGTTCAGTTCGAATTCATTTATCACTAGTAGCTACATACTCTTGGCCACTCTTTCAACTTGATGTGAAGAATGCCTTTCTCAATGGGGACTTGCAGGAGGTGTATATGGACCTTCCAGCTGGCTTCTATAATAATGTGGAAAAAGGAAAGGTATGCAGGTTGAAGAAGTCCCTATATGGTTTAAAACAATCACCCAAATCTTGGTTTGACAGGTTTAGAAGTGCATTGGTTGTATTTGGCTATGATCATACTCTTTTTGTGAAGAGGCCTTCACTGGTGTCAGTTTTGATAGTGTATGTTGATGACATTGTAGTTACAGGAAATGATTTGAGTGAGATTGATACCCCGAAGAAGAATTTGCGCAAAGAGTTTGAGATTAAGGATCTTGGGGAGCTGAAGTACTTTCTCGGCATTGAAGTGGCAAAGTCCAAGCATGGGATCTTCATCTCACAAAGGAAGTATGTTCTAGATCTACTACAGGAGATAGGAAAGCTTGGGGCAAAGGCAATTGATACACCTATTGATCAGAACCAAAGGATAAATGCTTCAGAGGGTGAACTAGTGAAGGATGTTAGAATGTATCAAAGGTTAGTGGGGCGGTTGCTATATTTATGTATGACACGACCAAACATCTCGTATGCAGTGAGTGTGGTGAGTCAATACATGCATGCCCCACGAGTTCACCATTGGGAGGCTATTGACAGGATACTTTCCTATTTGAAGGGACACTTAGGTAGAGGTATATTATTTGCTGACCATGGATAGTTGAAGTTAGAGGCTTACACAGATGTTGATTGGGCAGGGTGCCTAGATAACAGGAGATTTACATCAGGAGTTTGCACTCTTGTTGGAGGTAATTTAGTTTCATAGAATAGTAAGAAATAGACAGTTGTGGCAAGGTCAATGCAAAAGCTGAATACAAAGCCATGGCACATGGTGTTTCAGAGCTCCTCTAGATCCATTCCTTGTTAGGGGAGAATTGAG